TGTCAGCGTGACTCGAGCAATGAGGAAAGACCAAGAGGAAAGGAAGCACAATCAGAGGAGGCGAGAAGAGGATTAGCGTTTTGTTCACGCTAATTGTAGCCTCGGCTATTTTGCTGTTCTCCTAGTCCGGTAGTAGTTAAGCGCTATTTGGTGACTCTCTGGTGGGTCTTGTGCTTTCTGTACTTCGGGTAAAGCTTTGTATATATATATATATATATATATATATATATATATATATATATATTGTTTGTATATATTAGTATGTATATGATGCACAAAGGTGCAGAAAGACATAGATAAGTGTGTGTTCCACTTCTTGTTAATGTACAGAGAATTGAAATACACAAACAAGGACACAAGTCAAACCTGAAAACAATAGTTTTATTCATATAGGAACAGAGCTGCCAACTTTTCAAAAAACCTTGGAGTGAGATTTTGTCGGGGGTGACCAAAATTTTGCCGCGCACGCAGTCACACACGTTGGTGGCTCAAATATCAGGAAATTGGAATTCATTTGGCGTAGTACCCATGTTGTACGCTGCATTCTGGTGGTTTGTGGGGCCCAAAGTCGTTGATAGGGGCGGCCTACTGGAGATGGACAACATTGGTTACATTCTGTGAAGCAAAGACATAGCTGATGGTCCACCCCCAGGACATTTTGGTTTAAGTAGATGTTATTTCATGCATTCTCGCGGATTTTGGGGTGGTCTGCCTCAACTTATTCTGATTTATGTTCATCTGCTCATGACTGTTGGGCCCTTCTAGACTTGAGCTGAACATTCAACCAGAAAACTATTGCTGTGCCTCAATGACCGTCTATGTACCACAATATAGCCTAATTAATAGACCTGCGTTTAAGATTTGACCAAATAGGTTGATTGACATTTGGATTACAATGGTATTCAACTAATTCTTAACTGAAACCTAACCTATATTGTTAATAATTGTATTCTTAAGAGCACTTAATGATTTATGTTCAGCAAAAAATGACACAAGTTTAGTTAGGGAAAAATATTTTTCATTATCAAACAAAAAAGTGCAACAAATGAAGTGCTTAAAGTGCTTAAACAGTAGCCTTTCAAAGCAAAACAATGGATACACATAATATAAATACACATAAATAAAATAACAAAAAATGAGGTATTAAGAAGGAGATCAGAAGCTGGTTAGTAATTTTTTAAGATTTGTGGGCAAGGTTGTACTGGCCTGTGGCCTTCTTGGAGGCCTTGATGACCGCTGAGGGGGGCTCCCATCTGAAGCAGGGCTCCAGGTCGGCCATCTTTATGGCCATGATGGAGGACAGGGTGCCATCCAGTGCCAGGCTATTTCTGGTTTTTGTTTTATTCAGTCCCACAACTGAAAACACCCTCTCAGCATCAGCATTTGAATGTGGCAACACCAGGACCAGCTTGGCGACGGCAGCAAGCCTCTGAAATTCTTTGGCTCCTGTCACCTAATGAAAATGAACCAAGAACAAAATGGAAAAGCATACCATATTTTGTTTTGATTAATACTGTAAGTATACTGTAACAAACTTCAGATACAACATGCATAGATTGCATCATGTATGACACAATATATGCATGCATCAATAAAAGCAACAGATGTAGTCAAGCCACACCTGCCAAAAAACAAATACAAAAAAAATGTATACCTTATGTTTCCGGGTTGCCATTCCAGCCCAGAAGCTTTCCATATCCGTTTCTTCCTGAAGGGAGGTTGTTGGCATTGTCTGATCATTTAAAAACTCCTCACCCAGGTGGTCATGCTCCTCTGGTCCATGGTATGGGAGGAGATGGGGGAACCTATTTATGAAAGTAGAGTTACAGGTTGTTTAGTTATAGGTATATTGTCATTAACCAGCAGCAGTTCATATACATCTTTAAGGAAAAGCTATAAAAGGATAAATCATGTGCAGTTTAGGAGTGAACATACCTCATCATAAGCATTTTAGCTAAGATGGTAGACAATAATTAAAGAAAAAAACTAACCTTTCAACAAAGTAAAGGACATCTTCAATGCCACTTTCAGCCCTCTGCCGCACATCTACAAATTTTGAGTGTTTGATCACTGGCTCTTCCAGTGGCAGCTTCCTAAGTGCATAGCCCACAGCACTTGTGAAGAAACTTAACACAGCTTCATGGAATGAATCCACCTGCCGTGGTGTGAGGTCACCCTCATCCAGATATCTGGTAAGTTTAGCCCTGGTTGTGAACCCAATGTTCAACTTTTTCCCTGTACAGATACAGCATATCAGGTTAACATAAATGGTTTAACATACTGATGCAGCAATATCAGCTTGACGCATAGGGCAAGAAATCCAACCAGAAGCTCATTGTTGGGAGGACTACCACAAACCTTAGGTTTCTACTCATGAACTGGCAAAAGGCTAGGTACAAGGCTAAATATCACATTTTATCTATAACATATCACAGTGTATGATCATAATAATAGTCAAACACTAACCTGGCAAATGGTTTGCCTTCTCTTCATAGGCAATTGCACAAGGCTCCTCATGGCCTTGCAGAGCTGCTGGAACCATACATTTTGAACACAGCTTGCGTACAAATTTCACCATCTATGACCAACATTTACAGAAATAGTATTCGATCCCTGCAGATATCAGCAAGAAACCCAGAAGGGAAAAACAGCAAGATCCAAACCCACCTCATCATGTAACAAATATATGGCTGACTGCCGTCTCTGGAGAAGCAAGTTGAAGTCAGTGAAGGTTGGTACGGTGGCTTGGTAGAAGAGCAGGTTCTGTCATGGGGTCAGTGAATTCCTGCACAAGCCTCTTGAATCTGGCCTGATTTTCATCTTGAATCAATTAATAAATAACACAAAACAAGAGGTTGTCAATAAGTATGTGACTAACAATCCATGTAGTTGCTGCATAATGAAATTGAAAATTGATGACCATGCTTGCAGATTTGAAGTAGCTCGCGAGAGGTTCGTAAAGCCTCAGAATTCGTGTCACGCAACGTTCAAGGCTTAGCCAACGAACTGAGCTGTGCAGGAGGACCTCCATGTATTCAGCTTCATGCAGCTCACAAAACTCTGTTTCAAACATTTAATTCCATATCATATCTTTTCTTAAGCTCTGCATTTCAATATTACACTTAATAGTATCAAACATGCATACCTGTCAGGTATCCTTTACGATTTGTGCTACCTTTGAACCAGTAGCCGAGGTCCACTACCATGTCCTCCAAATCAAAACCAGACACCTGCAATGCATTAATCAAATCATAACATTCAGTCAATGCATGTAATTAGGATACAAATATGAAGTTACATGTAGAGATAAATCAGGCCTTAACTCACTTTAAAAAATCCCCCTCCTGCAGCTTTGGCAGTGTTGTGTGCCACATGACAGGGACAGCCATGAATGTAGGTGTTGGGGTGTTTCTGGAGCACCCTAGAGGCGATTGAATTTCGTGGTCCAATGTTGACAGCTGCATTGTCCACTGAGAGAGCCACGCAGTTCTCCCAAGGGATACAATGTGGAGTTAATTTTGGCGAAGATCTCGCTTGCTGTTCCACATGCCTTCCCACTTGTTGTACACATGCCCAAAAATCGGTGGACAACTTTGCCTCCCATGAAGACCCGGACAGTGAGCGGGTTCATCTTTTGCGCTCCTATAATGACGAGTTAGAATTATACCAATGTACATGTTGTTCGATGTTTACACAAAGCAAATGTTTTGCAGAAGAGATAAATAGTTTGGGATATACCTGTGTCATTTGACCCATCCGTAACAAGGGTGTATGGGCCGTTTTGAGCTCTTTCACAAGCTCTAGGGTGAAATAAGGCGCCAGCGCTTCATTAATGATGCAGGATGATTTAGTCCTGGCACACCTGTAGTCCTGCGCCGTCTTAGAATCTCCAAAACAATCTTTAAGGAGAGGCCCCAGGTGGTCTGCAAAGGCTAGAGGAACATTATGGACCACCAACCCAGCTGTCATTTTTACCTCAGCCCTTCTTGTCTGTAAGAAAATAAAAATGATTAGTCTTCCCAAAAGACCATAGTTTATTTCAAATGGACACCTGTGATAATAGGGCACAGGTAAAAAACACATTCAGCAACTAAGATCTCAAATTAAGAAAATTGGACTGTAATACACTGAAATACAAACCACAAATTAGTCAAAACTATCAACCATGAATTTACCGTATTCAACTAGGACACAAAACTCTTGACTGAACCTTGACAGGACTATTACACACATCATACCTTAACCTCTTGTGCAGACATCCCTCCAACAGGGGGAACGGGCATTGTGTATTGTGATATTGTGGCTGTGGACTGAAGAGCTCGTTCCTTTTCTTGGTGGCCTTTAGTTTTTATGTGGCGCACTACATCGGTCACACCCTGGTGGCAACATGAGTTCTCAACACGGCACACTGCACACCAGTAGTGCGTGTTGAGGCTCCCTCTTGTAATAAAGGGCCACGTAGAGGTCCACTCATTTTGAAAGAGGGTTCTATATGTTGCTGCTCCTGCCAGAGCACGCCTCTTCTGGCCCTGTTGTTGGATTAGGGGAGTCTCTTCTGTCTG